TTCTTCTTCTTCTTCTTCTTCTTTTTCTTCTTTTTCTTTTTTCTTTTTCTTCATCTTCTTCTTCTTCCTGCGTTTCGTGATCCTTATCGTCCGATACTAAGGCTCACCGGCCTATCTCATAACTTTAACTATCACCATCGCCACCGTTTCTACTATTACTACTACTGTTAATATTACTATTATTCTTATTACTATTACCGCTTATATCACCATCATCCTCACCTTTCGTGATCGTCGTCGTTTACCGATTAAACTTGTCGGCCTATCTCTTAGCTTTCAGTATCACCACCACCACCACCACCACCACTACTAATACCACTACTATTAATAGTAATACTGATGCTGCTATTGCTCCTATCACTCCTAGTACTTATTTTCGTACTACGATTACTACTAGTGCTTCTACGGTTACTACTACTATAAAGTCTACAACTACTATTGTTACAACGTTCATTACTACTATGGTTATCATTAATACTGCTACTACTACAAGTATCACCGTCATCTCCACTACTACATTTTACCTTTCGTCGTCATTATTGTGTACTAACCAGGCTTGCGGGCCTTCCTCATAACTTTCACTTTCACCGCTGCCACTACTACCACTATTATGATTACTAATAATGCTACGATTTTTGTTCCTAATGCCATCACTACTCATATTACTACTTTTATTATTGATAATATTACTAGTAATATTATCATTTTCCTCGCTACTACTACCTACGTTCAGCGGTCCATTTCTTACAACGTATTGCATCTGTTGTTTAGTGGACTTTCTTTCAGCTGCAGTTTTATTCCTTTGTTCTCGAAATCGGCTAAAAGTAGTTAAGCTCTTTGTCCTTTGTCTGTCACACGGTCTTCTGCGCAAACCTATAATCTTTCGAAATTTTGCATCTGATAGGGGTTGACTGGATTGAATGCCCGTCTACTCGTTCCATACACTCACATACACGCGCGTAAGCCTCCATTACATCGTTGTTAAAGCCCTGTGCTTAGTCGAGAACGATGGGAAAAAGAAGTAACACTTACAAAGGGCAAACGCTGTTACGCTTGAAGGTTTCACACGGGTGTGTTTCCAGCACTCTGCTACTAATTATAAGGCCTCTTTTTCTCCTTCGACACCCTTGACTTGTCGGCGGTATTTTTCTTTCTCGTCCACTCAGCGGCAATCTTTAAGTCGCGGGTTTTTTTGTCTTTGCCTCTTTGCCCGATTGCTCATTGCGTCGCGACACTACCTCAGCCATTCTCGATTTTAAGCACATACCGCAGCTGGTGTTCAGGGTTATGCTTGGCTGATGAAGGCTAATAAGCCCGAA